TCTTCACGATATGTAGAGTTAAACAAGTTTTGCCCAAACGAATTTGCTCGTCGTCCTAGATCTCTCGCGAAATTCTCTAAATTCAAAGCAACTGAGTTAAGACATTTTCTTTTATATGCAGTGCCAATTATTTCGTTTGGAATTCTATCTGAAGAATATTACTTCCATTTGTTATTACTTAATACAGCCATGAGAATAGTCACATCAATTAAATGTTCGAATAGGCAATTAGAAACGGCTGAAAAATGCCTAAAAATGTTTGTTAAATATGCGGAATATCTTTATACAGCGAGCTTTGTAAGTTACAATGTTCATGGATTACAACATTTAGTTGATGACGTAAAGGAATTAGGACATCTGGAAAATTGTTCAGCATTTGTTTATGAAAATAATATGCCGTTTTTAAAAAAAAGTATTAGAAATCATCCACGTCCACTTGAGCAATTCGCAAATCGATTACGAGAAAAAAATTATATACAACATGTACCTGAACGTAATCCTGAGATTTATCACCTTTCAACTATACACACAAATGGTCCCATTCCTGAATGTATTGAAAATACCAATGTCGTACAATACAAAAATTATCATTCAAATAAATTTAATTTTGCATTAGATGATCGCAATAGTTTTTGCAAGATCCGGAATAACTCTATTTGTAGAATTCAAAATATTATTTTGACTGAAAATGAAGATGTTTTCTTTATAGTACAAACTTTTCAAAATGTTACAAATTTTTATGAATTGCCAATTCAGTCTTCAACTGTCGGAGTATATAAATGCAAGAAGTTATCAAAAGATTTACAATTAATCAGTACAAATTATGTAATTGCGAAGTGCTACAATATGCCAAGTTGGTCAGGGTCATTCTCTTCAACAAAAAAATCAGAAAAATATAATGATGAATACATTGTTTCTACTTTCTTACATTATATTAAGTAGTTTTATTTTGTAACATCAATTAATGTATAACGTTTTATCAAATGTTTTATCATATTTACATAATAAATTTTATATTTATAATCTGTCAATATAAATGCTCCAATATAATTTATTTTTTGCACATCATAACTTTATTCAAAGTTTTTCCACTATATACTATAAGATAAAAAGGAACTATATTATGTATACATATATGTATTGACCTACAGCGTTATAAAAAATGGAGGGCAAAGATTCAAAATGTAATCGACGAGGACGTACAATAAAAAAACCTAAAAAATATTGTACTACAGATTCTGATAAGCCAACGAGTAAGAAAATGGCTAACAGTGAAATATTTCAAGAAATGATAGCAACTTTCAACAAATATAATTCTGAAGAATCAACTGATGCACCAAGTCACTCATCTGATAATGAATATAATTTTTCGACTGACAGTGACAACAATGTTGAAATGGACAAAAGGTCCCCAAAAAATACACAATCGGCCCGGAAAAAAGAAAATCAAGATAAACCAATCGCAAAACCTGACCGGAAAAAAGAAGTAAACCAAGAAAAAACACTAAAACCAACATCGGAACAGCAACTTAGACACCATGAAAACAAGTTGAACTCGTCTGGTTGTTCAACACAACATAATTTATTTTCATTACAAAATAATTGTAATCAAGGAGATGACGTAATGCGTACATCAAATAATCATTCTGTATACGATTTCAACGCAGCGGCAGTTGTTGAAACAAGTAACTACTTTTGTATTCCTAAAACAAATATTTGATTTTACCTTCTCGTTAAGGTAGTCCTTGTACGCAATAAAAAAAGGGAAAAAGAACGAATAAAAATACTATTATTTACGTTAATAAGTATGTCTATGCAAAGTTTTGAAGTTTTTACTACGAAAAAATAAACCGTTGTAAAAATTAAAATTTTTCAGAAATTAGTGAAATGTACGGTAAGACGAACTTATGCTTTACTAAATACAAATAATAACAATAGACAAATAAAATATTAACATTTGACGCGAAAAACAAAGGTTACATCCATGATGTAAGAAGAAAGGTGTATCATTGCGCATGCAAGATGATGGGATGATGTTAAAACAACTATCATATTTGGGTCAAAATGCAGCCGCGAGAATTTGTGCGTGTGCATAGTTGCTTTTCAGCATTTGGACCCAAATGTGATTGGTTGACTACTGCGCAACTTGATGCTGTTTCACCTTACTTCTTACATCATGGTTACATCGTCAACACATTCGAATTAATTTGCAAATAAATTTTTTCTGTACATTAGAATATATGTATTTTTATATTATATTGGACCCTTTCAAACGCTTACAAAATGCGCTTCTGCGTGCAAAGACTACGTTATGGCGAAGTTATTCTGAAATTTTATAAATCTAAAGTGTGTGTGTGTGCGTGTGCGTGTGCGTGTGTGTTGCTTATTATTTGAGTTGATTTATCTTTTTTCAAAATTTATTACATTGTATGTTTGTTTATCCAGGTACTGTTCAAAAAAATTCTTCAAAAATTGGAACTTGTAACTACTATGTTTCTCCAGCTATTACTTCAAATAATGGATGTAATAACAGTTGGAGCACTAGCAGCATGAACACAAATGCAGCCAGTGTTCCACCCACAGGTACACAAGGATTATATACCTCAGGCAAAATATTTTTACATATAATGGATTAAAATTAATAAAATAAAATGAAATATTACAACGACTCGAACATATCGAATTTTTACAGGAACTGTATTGGATAATACACACACACATTCGCAGTTCTACAACTATCACAATAACAATGATGGCCATATAAGTTATCCAAATTCTGAAAATGCCATCTTAAATAACTTGAGGGCATCGCAAGAAAGTTTCTTCCAAAAATTTGAGGAAAAAATGAATATGTTTTGGAAGACTCAGGAACGATATGTTTCGAAAAAAGTAGACGATATGCAAAACTATTATGAGCAAAAAATGAATGAACTAAAAACCCACTTCAATACAAAATTGGATAATATGCAAGTGTAAGTATACATTAATATGATTTTCAATTTAAAAAATCTATAAATTTTACCAAAATATCTTAAAAGATAAAAAAGTTGTACGATAAAAAGAAGATGATTTGGATACAGTTTTTGGGTTTATATAAAGTGAAGCCTATCAAGATCTTTTTATACCCTCTTAAATATTAATTTACTGAGCATAAAACCGAGTCAAATGATTTTTAGAAACATGAACGCAAATAATAACGATAGGACTCATCCAGTATATACGCTTCCGGAAGGTTTCCCATTACAAAATATGCAACAATTTGAAGAGTTCGAGAAAAATGAACAAAAGCAGGAAGAACTAATAAGTAAAATATCAAAATGATTTACTAATATTTCGATTACATAAAAATATTATCATACTTTTAATTTTGCATTTTGTTTTTCGGAATATTTAAGTGGTTTGCTATTTTCAGTAATACAAAATACAATATTCTTAAAATTCCTTAACTTTGCACAATTATTTATCACAAAAGTAAAATTTTTCATAGATTCAAAATTTATTTAGCAATATCTTATATCTCTTATCGGTTAATGAATTTCTGTATCGATAATAATTTACATAATATTAATATTAATAGCACCACTGACTCCTTAAAATATTTTACAGAAAAATTATTTTACCTGGTGGGGAAATCCTAACACGAAAATTTCTTTGAAAGAGTATATTAAAAGTTCTATCTCAGATGAACTTGCAAGCCATTTTAAGTGGGCCCAGAAAAGTAATAAGGAAAGCAATAAAGAATCGGAAAACGAGGAAAATGAACCTGCATCGCACAGGACATTATATGACACACAGCTGAGTAAAATTATGTTCCGTAAGTATTCTTATTTGCGAATCGTATCCTTAAATTATGATTGGTAAAACTTAACATAAATTTTATTCTGGAAAATCGAAAAAATTTAATTGTTTTTGGAGCGTTTTACAAAGAAATGTATTTTATATACATGTATCAAGCTATACAAATATTTTTCAAAATTTTAGGAAGTTTAACAAGTCTAAAGTGTTATACTATAATTCCGCCCAGTCAGAAATGACTCGTCAATCGATGTCGAAACGACGTCGAATCGACGTCAATATGACGGTTTCGATGTCAATACGACGTCATTTCGACGTCGATCGACGAGACATTTCTGACTGGGCGTTAAATCATGTATCATGTTTTGAAAAAATGTTTTGTCAGTGTATGCCAAACCTAAATTGACATTGATAATTTGTTTCTAATTGTTGGGTTGCTGTAGAGTACAGCGAAAAATCCCTTTGATCATTTCTCGTCAACAATTCCTGCGTATTCAACCAATGATCTATTTTAAAATTTTGCAAACATTAGCATCACGTTCTTTTACAATTGGTTTTAATTTCATGTACAATCATAATTTTTTAAGTTTTGAAAAGGATCTTTTCAAGATGTTACATAACCCTTATACAAAGAGTTGTTCGTGATTTTTAAACTTCCGAGCTTTTTATTATTGATTGATTTTAAACTTCTTTTTCGTAACTATTTTTTTCAATATTTTAAATTCAACAATGTTGAGTTGTGATACAATTCCCAATGAAAACGCCTAGTAAAAAGAATGTCAGTATGACGTCAAAATAAAATGAATGTACTACGTCGAATTTTCATGTCGAATTTACTACAATATTTATAATTTATTGATTAACACCTGGTAAATTCGCTCACTTTTGTAATTTTCACTACATTTTGAAAACACAATCGATCCTCTGGAATACAAACAAAATTCGTTATTATTTATGTGTAAACATATTTTAATTGATCGATTAATTATTATACATGTATATATGTGATTACTTTAAGTCATATTAATTTAAATTTTGATACGGAAACGGGTTCATCAGATACAAATGAATTTTTCCACAAAAATACCGAAGTTGATAATCGGCCAAAACATCCATCATTATTTCAACCATTTCTAAAGAAGCGACTGAAACAATCTCGAATTCCATTTAATCCAGTCAATTTGAATGACACAAAAAGCGAGTCACCTGAAAAAAAGATAGGCTGGGATTGCTGGGAATGCAGAGAAGTATAATGCAATATTAGCAGTATTATATTATAATTATATTAGATGATTAAATAAAAATAGTAATAAATAT